CAAATGATGACATATTTGTGTTTTTTTTTTTAAAGAAAAATAAAAAAGTTCTCATAAAAAAAAAAAAAAAAGAGATTCCTATTTTCTTGTAAAACTATGTAAAGTACTTGGTGCGGTAGCAGTTATGCAGCATTTTTAACTGTAAAGCACACGTTTCACTGTCACGTTTGTAAGAGGTGCTGTACAGAGATTCTGAAATCATGGCTATTCAGCTCCTGTATCGGTTTTAAGCCCTACTGAATGAGCACTGATTTGCAAGGCCCTTCCTATTCTATGGCGGAACCACGTGGCGTCAGGCAGATCGTCATCACTGTATTTTTCATTGTCAAGGACTATACAGAGTTGCAAAATAACTTCCTTTCTTATACCAAGGACATTCCGCCCTCTGTGCATGACATTTCCCTCCATGAATACACATTTCAGCTGTACCGTTCAGATTACTGTGGGGAAAGGCCTGACTTTCTACCTGTTTGTTGAATGCAGACTTGCCAGGTGGCTACAGTCTTCTAATAACTTCATTTAGATCAATTAGAATGGCAAAATATCTAATCACACACTGTATCTTATTCTGTTTTCCCAGGTGGAAACCTTCCTTCCCAGCCAGAAGGACAAGCTGCTCTTCCTGGCTTCTTCCTTGGCGATTTTTTCCAACTAGTCATTAATTGGGATCCAACTAATTGTGCTATCTAGATATAATTCTATAACATAAAATGAACATAAGTGGCATTTTACCAACTCTTTTGCTTTGCTTGAATCATTTGTAAGTTCTGGCAATGAACAAAATATGTGAGAAGTTATAAAACTGGGTGAGTATGTCATGTAACCAGAGAGACATTTTTCAAGGCGTGTCTGCTTCTTCCTTCAGAGCAATGTTTTAACAAATCAAGAAGCCGTATATAACAATACCTTTGATACAAGCTGTGCATTGCTGCTCAGAGTTTGATTTGAAATGCGTGCTACACACTGCACAATTCTTGCACATGCTTTCTTGTCCTTTTGTGCCATCCATAATACATGGTCATCTACCAGCATTATATTGCTGGCAATCTCTATGACAGCATCTGCGAGCTGCTAAGAGAAAGAGAGAAAAAAGGAAAGAGGAGAGGAGAGAGTATAAAGTATATAACTTCTATAAAACATAAGGCAAAAATGAAAAACAGCTGCATTTGGGTATTCTGTAAAGCATTCAGGAACTACCTGTTCTAGGAACATCAGCTTACATTTCAATTTGGTAAGTCGAAAGATTAAATGGATGGACATGCCTCTTTGCAAGTCAGTGATTATCAAGTCAAAACTATTTCAGAGTTACATAAGTCCAAACAACTGTTCTATTAAGAATAGATGTTTCTTAGAGACTTTTCAGCAAGAGTTTTAGCAATATAGATGCAAAAAAATAATAATAATTCCCTGAAGTAAACACAAGAAATTCAATTATAAGAATTTGATCAGAGTTTTTTTTTAAAAAGCATTAATTGCAGCTCATAGTAATGAAAAGATCAAATTATATATAAATGTTATATGAAATAGCAATACTAATTGTTATTAAGATAAAACAAATGAGGTTTTGTTGGAACACTACTCTCCTAAGAAGGCTTGTGTATCTTCATATTCAGATAAAGCCATCATAGAATTTAATAATTACAACTGCGAGGTAATAATTGATTAAGCTATGCATTGGGAACAGTGCTTGATTATAGACAATACCTGATTTATAGAAATACCATCTCAGTGGCCCAATTCAGAAATGAACGCAAACCATCGTTTCACAAAAATCAAAGTCCAAATCCTGGCTTTAATTTCCAAATGAATGGTTGGTTTAAGCTTCAACATGGTTAGTCCTTGTATTTGCATCTAATATGAACCCCTCCATTATTAAATGGCCAGTTTCTCAAATCACATATGTTTCTAATTGGTGAATAAACCATAGACTGAATTCACACAAACACCAAAGTTATAAACTGTAATTTAATGTGGCATGTACACACCAAACATGATATTCAAAATCAGATTCTAATATAACCACCTTTATAGTGATTTAAAAAATAGTAGTAAAATACTTTTGATTAGCACATTAAAGGAAAATGAAATATTTAAACTAGATTTTTAAAGGAGTTACTTTTCAATGACAGATTACAATAGTTTTCCTAATAATAAATTGACTTAATTTAAAAAAAAATGTTATTTAAAAATATGCAGTTAGGTCTGGTACCTAAATTATTCTTAACACTTTACTTCATTTTATTCAACACGCATATGAAAGATCTTTATCTAGAATTGAGCACATGGGATTTGCTACACTTGAATGAGCTGGGGATATCCTGTATGTTTGAAGTGGTCCACAGTTAATTATCCTACAAACTCCATGACTATTGGAGCCCATGGATTATCCCAGTTCATATTCTACATGAGAAACAACATATTTGCAACACTTGACCATCATCATGTTTGCTTCCAAGAGAAGACGTTTTCCCCCAGAAGTACCAGTTAAGTTCATTTCTGCTTACAGAGAGCCAAGGTGGCGCAGTGGTTAGAGTGCAGTACTGCAGGCCACTTCAGCTGACTGTTATCTGCAGTTCGGCGGTTCTAATCTCACCGGCTCAAGGTTGACTCAGCCTTCCATCCTTCCGAGGTGGGTAAAATGAGGACCCAGACTGTGGGGGCGATATGCTGACTCTGTAAACCGCTTAGAGAGGGCTGAAAGCCCTATGAAGCGGTATATAAGTCTAACTGCTATTGCTATTGCTATTGCTACAGATTGATAGTGTAAGAAACATCCAAGAGTAGAGAGGATATCAGGCATAAAGAGTCCCTTTGTGAATCCATTCAAAAATCAGAAGTAGAATAATCCAAAGGCTTTCCACTTTTATTTTATACACTTTCCCCATTACTGGGTTTATCAGGCCACCCAACACAACAAAAAGTAAACCACAGGCAGTCCTTGACTTACGACCACAATTGAGCCCAACTTTTATCTTGTTAAGGGAGAAGTTTGTTAAATTTGCTCCATTTTATGACCATTCTTGCCACATTTGTTAAGTGAATCACTGCGGTTGTTAAATTAGTAGCACGGTTGTTAAGTGAGTCTGGCTTCGCCATTGACTTTGCTTGTCAGAAGATCACAAAAGGTGATCACACCACCCCAGGGACACTGCAATCGTCATAAATATGAACCAGTTGCCCAGCAATTGAATGTAAATCACGTGACCACGGGGATGCTGCAATGTTCATAAGTGTGAAAAATGGTCGTAACTTTTTTCGGTGCCGTTGTAACTTTGAGAAACCACTAAATGAACTGTCAAGGACTACTTGTATCAACCAAAAAGAGCCACATAAAATATACAGAATATGGGGTTACTTAAAGAGGTTTTGGGACTGGTCACATTGTTAGTCAGGAAATATACCTTAAGGGGGAAAAACACTGATCACAGTCTCTTTCCTCTCAGTAAAACATTTTAGATAGATCATTAATTTAGCTACTTATGTTTAGCTGACATCTAAAACACCATTGTGAAAATGTTTAAAATCCAAGCCATTTAACATCAAGCTACCCAGAGAATTAAAAAGCCTAAGACATTTTACTGGCATGAATTCTAGTTTCAAATGAGTTTGACAAGGTTAGAACCACGGGAAGCTTTATTCAGCTCTTCAGAAAAGAGCAGGGAACGGCACGAGTCTAGGAAAATGTTAAATTGAACAAACTCTCATTAAAAACTTCACCCATTTGAAGCAAAAATGCTAGTATAATCAATATAAAAATATTGGCATCAAAAAGTTTTAATTCTGGATCACTAAGGTTTCACATTCAGCGGTATATTTGCCGAATTATTCCTTCCAAGATCAACTCTGCAAACTGAAAAGGTAGAAGGAAAGTATGAAAGCTAAAACAATTTTTAAAAAGTATTTCAACATATAAGAATCATCATCCCAAAATACTGCAATGAGAGTTTTATTCAACTATTTCATCAGAAATAGATGAAAATATTATTAGGTACCTTGTTGCCAATAAGTCAAAAATGTTATTTGCGGTATCGATTAGTGCCCTCTTTGAATGAGAATAATTCATAGAATATTTTGGTTTGTTAAGCATTTAATGTTCTCCGGAGGAGGCTCTAAGGTTGGAAAAGATAGAAGGAAAGAATAGGTATACATTCGGGCTTTTTAGAAATGCAATGAAAATATGTCAGACTAATCTTAAAATGAACATACTCAGCAAAAACAAATTTAATCCTAAACTCATATGGACACAGAAAACTCTATAATGAATAATAATTTCTTTAAGTACAGGTAATCCTTAGGCTACAAAAGCAATTAGAACTGGAAACTCTGTTCGCAGCTGTAAATTGCCACAATATATGATGTTACTTAGAAATCTGTTCCTGTTGCTGTTCTTAAATGAAGACTGCAGAGGTTGTTAAGGGAGGAGCTCACACAGGAGTGAAATTCAGCAGGTTCTGACAGGTTCTAGAGAACCGTTAGCGGAGATTTTGAGTAGTTCGGAGAACCGGTAAATACCACCTCTATCTGGCCTCAGAGTAAGGTGGGAATGGGGATTTTGCAGTATCCTTCCCCTGGAGTGAGGAGGGAATGGAGATTTTCCCCTGGAGTGAGAGGGAATGGGGATTTTGCAGTATCCTTCCCCTGATGATTCCCATCAGATGATTGCAGAGCTGCTGATATTGCTGGAACTTGAAGGACCTCTGAGAAGTCCCTCTCATTTAGTGCCGTTATAATTGTGAATGGTTGTTGAATGAATGGTCATATATACTATCTGTATATTATATAATTCAAATTTAAATTTAAAAATACTTTATGAAAAGCTCTTGAATAAAAAGTTGGAATTGCTATTTTAAAAAGACCCCCGCCCCCAAAGAAAACCCCATTACTGGACATTAAAATAAACCCAACATTAAATCATCATCACGTTAGCCAAATAGAGTCTTACGTCTTTGATCTCTTCCATATGTAGAATTAGCTTTTCCAACATATAAGCTAAATAGATTACATCCTCCTTATCTGCAAATTTGGCGGCGTCTCTTGTGAAAGCTGCTAGCTGATGGGAAAATTCCAGTGCATTGGTAGCATTTAGATGCCTCTGGAAAAAAAAATCCCAAAAGATATAAAATTCAGTTAAAAGTTTAATTCTATTTTCTATATTTAAAACATTAACGTTTTATTTTTCTAGAGATGAAGAACATTATTGATGTATAATTCAAACGTGCAAACAACATTATATTGTAAAATATTTAAATTGTCTAATAAGAACACTGTGTTTTAAAATACTTAAAATGTCTAATACTTTTAACTTAAATAATTTTTTGTCAAGCAACTTCCCCCTGACGGAACCATTTATCAGCACCATGAATACTGATCCAGCATCAATAATTTAATTTAAATGAATATTAAAGATAATGCCATGAGAACTATGTTTGAATAAATGTCACAATCTGTTTATGCTTTCTTATTCTAAAATAGAATAGTTGAATACAACTAGAGTTATAGCACATGTTTGGAAAGCTTATAATTTATTTTTGATATATAGTCTTGTTAGATAGCCTAGATAACAAAGACTTCCTCTGCAGAAACTTGGGTAAGAACTGTGTAATGCTTACAATGCACTAAATTCCATGTACGACAGTATGGTTTACCTGACTGAAAGCATGAAGGATTTGAGTCACTTCCTGTGAATAAGGACATTGGGAATAGTTTTCTTCATCCCACCAACCTGTGCGGTTACAATTACGCCATGCTTTTAGCTTTTCTTCCCCATTCAGAAAGGAGGCTGATCTTAAGGAATGCTGAAAACATGAATGGTAAGCGGTTACACCTGCCACAGTTTTAGGCCACCTGTGGAAAAAAATACAAATAAGATACTGTAATGCTACACTAATAGCAGTAGCAATAGCAGTTAGACTTATATACCGCTTCCTAGGGCTTTCAGCCCTCTCTAAGCGGTTTACAGAGTCAGCATATTGCCCCCAACAACAATCCGGGTCCTCATTTCACCCACCTCAGAAGGATGGAATGGTTGAGTCAACCTTGAGCCGGTGAGATTAGAACCGCTGAACTGCAGATAGCAGTCAGATGAAGTGGCCTGCAGTACTGCACCCTAACCACTGCGCCACCTTGGCTCTTGGTTTAGGGGAACAGATTTGTTTAGGGAAAACTCCGATGATGGGAGGAGCTAAAACAAATAGCGGCCAAGGTCGGAATAAAAAAAATATAAGGGAGGAGGAAAGGTATCCATTTTTTTCCCCTAGCATTTCTTCTTCCTTCTTCAGTTGCAACCTTCTGTGCGAGCAAATTTTTGATGTCCTCATTTCCCTTTCTCTTCACATGAAAAGTTTCTGGGAAAGAGGAAGGTTGTTTTTGCTAGAGGATTGAATTGTTTGCTTGCAAAAGGCTTCTGTACTTAGCAATGGATTTTTTTAAAATTAGGCCCTAAGGCTGCAGGTTTCCCATGCTTACAATAAATAATGCAATACATCATCTGTCTTGAACTGGAACTCATAGAGCAGTTTCCTTGCATGTTTTATATTCAATAATGGGTCATTCAATTTGAAATGATTTTAATTGGTATATTTATATATTAAAGGGCTTTATTTTGGGGGCTTAAAACTGGCAAAGTTTCCTCTGTCTTTGCTGGGAGAGGTTATAACTTGGCTCTTTTCTCCCAAGACAGTGATTCAACATTAATAGATCGGTCTTGCCCATGTTATCCTTCATGTTTTTAGACTGAAAAATCCCAAATTCCAGTTATTAGTCCCAACAGTACTGGACAAAGTCAGGTTTGGAAAGCAAGGATCAAACATTACAGAAAAACAGAATATTTTCATTCCCATCCCTTTAACATCGTGTCTATTAGATACACCTTTTCAAGTTAAAAACTTTTTTATTTTTAAATGTTAGTATCTTTCAAAAAAATTCTTTGGTAAATACTGATACTTCAATAATATAGGTAATTGCAGTATGCAAATGATACTATTACAGTCAATGTTTTTTAGTTGCTTTGTTTTAGAATATGAGACTTTTCTTTGATGAATGTAAGATCAAGTTTTCAAATTTTCCTTCATTCATACATGCATTGTGGATAGTATTTTACAATGCCACCATGAAGAATTTTTTCTTATTAAAGGTAAAGGTTCCACTCGCACATATGTGCTAGTCGTTCCCAACTCTAGGGGGCGGTGCTCATCTCCGTTTCAAAGCTGAAGAGCCAGGGCTGTCTGAAGACCTCTCCGTGGTCATGTGATCGGCATGACTAAACAGCGAAGGGGGAAAAGGAAGCTGTTCCCTTCCCACCAAAGGTGGTCCCTATTTTTCTACTTGCATTTTTTTACATGCTTTCGAACTGCTAGATTGGCAGAAGCTGGGACAAGTAATGGGAGCTCACTCCGTTATGCAGCACTAGGGATTCGAACCACCAAACTGCCGACTTTCCTGATCGACAAGCTCAGCGTCTTAGCCACTTTGTCTCTTCCTGTAAAATTCCATATACAGTATAGGAAACTATTATGCCAAGGAGGACTGAAAAGAACCTTTCTCCTAATGTATGACATGTAAATAAGCAGGAGCATTCTGTCAACCAAGAAATCTTCTCCGCTCCAGCCTGAAGTACTAGTGTCAAGATATAATTTAAAATCTCAGTGAGGAGCAAGTCATATTCATAAGTGGCACTGGCAGCCTTTAGGAATTTGCAGGATTTTTATAGGTTATCAGCATATATAGGAAAATATTTGATAAATAATTTTATATAATACATTGGCAAAATTGATTTTTCATTTCTAAGTAATTTCTTATTTACTCTTAGATTTATTATTACTTTAATTGAATTAAAACTCAAGGGATGAGATGTTGCTTCAGACTCAGGTTGTATTAACTGAGATCCCTTAAATCAGGCGTGTCAAACTGGCAGCCCATGGGCAGGAGGTATCACGCACAGGCCACGCCCAGCCCAGCTCTGCAAAGGCCAAACCTGTTGTGATACGTCACGTGATGTCGTGTGATGCGATCGAGTTTGACACCCGTGCCTTAAATCAATGGTCAATCATGCTGACTTCAATTCCTAGAATTCGCAACAATGGTCATAGAGAATTCTGGGAGAAGAATTAGTGCGCCACTGGGCCATCCTTGTAAATTGTTGAAGAATCATTTATCTATGGTGAGACCTGACCATATAACATTTATTTTCTTGGAATAACTTTCACTGCAGTGCTTTTCCTAGACTCCCTTTTTCATTCTGATCGTATCTGGGCATTAAGATGGAAAGAGGTTCCCTGCTTTCATAATCTATTTTTGAGCCATACAGCACAAGAACTCTTTTTGTGTTGCTCCAAACTAAGGAATAGCCAATCAAGACGACCAAATTGTGGAAAGCCTAGAAATTATCTTAGAATCATGACATTGGAGATCTTTAATCCACAGGCATCAAACCCGATCCCGTCACTTGACATATCATGATGTTTTTGTCTTTGCAGAGCTGCAGTAGATGTGGCCTGTGTGTGACAGATCCAGCCCATGGGCCGCCAGTTTGATAGGCCTGTTCCAGTCCAACCCCTTGCCCAAGGCAACAGTCCTTATACCGCCCAGGACAAATGGATCTCCTATCTTTTCTTGAAAGCCTCCATCAATGGAGCACCCACAACTCCAGGAGACAAGCTCTTCCATTGGTTAATTGTTCTTACTGTCAGAAAATTTCTCCTTAGCTTCAAGTAGGATCTCTCTTTAATAAGCTTGCACCTGTAACCCAAGAATGCTACGCAAGATGCACAGTGTTAGGGTACCGATGGTTAAGATTCGGAAACACCAGGACACAGAGACATTTTTGCTCACTTAAAAGTATCTTACAATGAAAGGAGAAAGAAAATAAATATAACCATCATTTTATAATAATAGCTTTTGTTCACTGAAGCTTGCATTACAAATCCTTGCAGCGAGATTTCAATTACACATACCACCTGGACCTGGCAGATCAAAAGAATCAACCTTTCCATTTTAAATTTAATGCATCTTTCTTTTTAAAACAAGGTGACCCCTCCCCCCCACCCCCGGTTTTCTTTTGTGCTTGTAATAGATTGCTTCCAACATATTTGCCATAATATCAAAACCTCAAAGACGTTTTCATGATACATTATTGGCAGGGAAGCTCATCCAAAAAGAGACATTTTTCAAAAACGCTTCAGGTGTTAATGTTAACTTTCAGCTCCAAAGATATTCTCTTCAATTCTGAATTCATTACTTTGAAATGCCAAAGAAATATACAGACTCAGCATGCTTTTGATGTGTATTTCTAAAATAAATTTGCGCAGAATGTTTGAATGATGATCAGTAATGAAACAAATGTGAATCCTTCGGGTTTTTTTGATTTAGAGAAAATGAAACAGAAAAAGGCCTCTCATCTTAGCTGAACATTTATTTCACTTTTATTTATTTATTTATTTATTTATTTATTATGACATTTACCAGCAATGAAGCGAAAGGTTTGTTAATGAAAGCTGCAGTCAGTATACGCTTATCTTGGTGTATTTTAAAACTGACTCATTAAAGAGAACCCCAAGTTGAGTTGCTCAGCTTTCTGTGCTAAGTAGAAATGTAGCTTCTTCCTGGGGATAATCGTGCCTTGAACTTTGCAAACAAAGGCAAAGATTTTTCCTCTTCAAAACCACATCTGGTTTTTTCACATACGTTTTACCATAATACTTATTGTGGTGAAAGGAGGCTATTTTTACTCTGTTTTGTTTTTTAAGTGGAAAATGAAAACACTAAGCAAAATACTGCTAAAGAACTGAATGTACCACCTAAGGATACCGCAATGGCCATGATTTCTTTTCCAACCAACTATATTCTACTTGACCATGCTGAAAGTTTTAGTCTAATTCTCCTTAGTTCTTAGTCATAGATTTTAGTCAGAGGGCCTTAATTTTATAAAATGAATGAAAAAAAAGATGCCATGTTTTCTATAGCAAATAAAAAAGAATAGGTAGGATAGAATCTTTTTTTAAATTGCCTTAGACTATTTTTTAAAAAGATTCAATACAAAATACCAGCTGCAGTTATTCACTTAAGAACTGTGGCCAGAAAGGTGGTATAGTGACCAAAGTTACAATGGCATTGAAAAAAGTGACTGATTTTTCACACTTAGCGGCCATTTTCACACTTAGCGG